AGAAACTGGGAACATTCTGGGGGAGAGGGGAGGAGACAAAGAAGGGACTCAGAGGATGACTTGGATGGGAGGTATTTAGGCAGGGAAGGGGGGGGGTCCTCAAATTCAAACCTCACAACATTGGTGGAGAATTTGAAGCATAGGGAGGGGCTGGAACCCCCCAGAGTGACACAGAACAGAGGAAACTAGATCTCAGGACTCCTGAGTAAGGAGCGAGCATGTATCCCAGGCCAGGAAGCTATCCCAGCTCAGCGTAGAGCTTCAAGGACTGCCAGGGAGAGCCCCCCAGTGTGTGTAACCTGGTGGGTGTGTGTGCAAACACACATGCACATGGAATCATGTGCTGGTGCAGAGGGCACAGTTGGCAGGAGCTAGGGGGTGGGAGTGGGAGTGCTACCCAGGTGATGCCACAGCCTCCCTTGTGGTTCTGAAGGAGTGGGAGAGACACAGAAAGGGAGGCTAGGGAGGGAAGATGGCCAGAAACTGGGAGGGGAGGAAGTGGGGGGCTGGGGAGGGGAACGGAGTTGAAGGAGGCAAACTGAAGGCTGAGATGGTGGGAGAGAGGGCAGAGGAACCTGGAAGAAAGGGATGGCAAAAGGGAGGGAGGAGAGGAGAATGAGCACTAATGGGAGCTGGGCAGAGGGAGGGAGTGGGAGGGAGAGTCTTCTTTGTTCTTTCTTCTTCTCTTTCCTAGAGGGGGAGAGGAGGCAGGCTGGGGCCGACTGGGGGGAGGGGGGATGGCACCCCTGTGGCCCCTTCCAGTTGGGTCCTTTGGCTGGGAGGGGCTCATATATATAGCCAAACTGCTTCCCCTGTGCCCTAGCTGGAGCTGACCCCGCCTGCCAGTCACCTGCCAGAGCTATTTCTGGAATGTGGAATCTGGGTCAGAAGGGGGGAGGGAGAGAGAGAAAGAGTGGTGGCAGTGGTGCTGGCAGCTGGGAAGCTGGTGAGCTCTAAGTGGGTGGGCGGGCAGCTCCAGGCTCTGTCCAGGGCCACTCCAGAGCGGCCCTCCCCCTTCCAGGTTCTCACTGCCTCAATAACTACTCCTCGCCCACATCCACCCACCTGCCCACATATGGCCTGAGTCCATACGTGCCCACCATATGTGCCCATGTACGAGTGTGGAAGAGCTTTCATACCCCTCAGCAACCTGGGGGCTCAGTACAGCCCTAGGGGTGTGTGTGTGTGTGTGTGTGTGTGTGTGTGTACCTGGGGTCTGGACTTCGCCCTTCCTGGAGACAGAGCTGAGGAGAGGAGACCACTTCTGAGTAGGGGTGACCCCTGTGGGGCAACAGTGGCTGAAGCAGGGTGGGCCTGCGTGTTGGCGTGGGTCTATGTAGAGGGAGGTGGTTATGCACAGAACTGCCATGGATGGTTGTGCAAGTTTTCCACTGATTAAGGATGCCACATATAGGGCAGACATAATTAAATTATATACTCATGACAAATCTGTGGCAGATGGCAGAAAAAGACCTTATTCTAAGAAAAATTATACATCATGACAATTTTCCAACAGATGGCAATTAAGTGTCATGGGGGGAGTGCCCTTTCCTAACCCAGCACAAACGTACCGTATGGACCAGCTGCAGTTCTGGGCACAGATGGGAAAATCTGGTGGCTTTGGTTTTCCCTGTGAGGCAGGTGGGTTTACCTGCTGAGCATGAGGGGATCAGAAGGTGGAGGAGAGACAAACAAGTATGTAGTGGTCACTGTGGAGACCTGAGGGAGGGCTGACCTGGTAAATGTCAGGGTGAATTTTTTCAGTGGCTCTAATCTACTAGGGGCATGATTTCCTCACAGGTGTGGAGGGGGCACAAGTCTTGAAAGAGAGACACGTGTGTGTGAGTGTGTATGAAGGTGTATGTGGACATTACGTGTGTATGTGCACCTGTGGGGGATATCCATGTGCATGTGTTTTTGTAACTTTTCATACCATACAGAGATCTAAGGGTCTACAAGTTCATGTATGTCTGGAAGCAGGTGCACTTGCACACACATGTCTGAGTTGATAGGAGGTATTGCTACATGACACTTTCTTGAGTGTCTTGTTTGATCTAAAGCCCCCAAACTGAGAATAATTGGAGGCCCACAACCCTCCATTTAAAGCCAGCTGCTGGATCACCCATACAGGACAGTTCGGAGTGGGTGTGGTTGATTGGGGTCTCTTTTTCTTTTTAAATTTTATTTATTTATTTGTCAGAGAGAGAGCACAAGCAGGGGGAGTGGCAGGCTTGTTCCTTTCCTGCTGAGCAAGGAACCCAATGCAGGGCTCGATCCCAGGACCCTGGAATCATGACCTGAGCCGAAGGCAGACGTTTAACCAACTGAGCCACCCAGGCGCCCTGTCTCTTTTTCTTCTTAGATTTTAGGTTACTCAATCAAGAGGGGCTGAAGCCAGTCCTAACATAAATCATGAGATCCCACTGTTATGATTGGATGAGACTTTGGGGTTCTTGAGGATAAGTGTATTTAAAAAAAATATTTATTCGAGAACGAGAGGGAGACAGAGTGTGTGCGCGCTCATGCACGAGCACACACACCAGCGTGGGTAGAGGCAGAATGGGAGGGAGAGAAATTTAAGCAGACTCTGCACTGAGAGCAGAGCCCCACTCAGGGCTCAATCTTATGACCCTGAGATCACGACCTGAGCTGAAACCAAGAGTCAGATGCTTAACCAGCTGAGCCACCCAGGTGTCCCAGATAACTGGTGTATTTTCTATGTGAGAGGAACATGAATAAATATGGCCAAGAGAGTGGACTATAGCAGATTCGATTATCAACCCTAATTTTTCACCCCTCCCTGTATCCACACCATTGCCATAGAAATAGTTTCTTACACGAAGGTAGGAGGGTACCTCTCCATCCCTGTCTTTGAGCTCAGTCATATGACTTCCTTTACCCCATGGAATTTTAGCAGATGGTATATTCGTAGGGGCCTTGAAATGTGCTTGTGTCCTTAGGCTTGCTCTCTTGTGCTTCCGCCAAGAATAACATGCCCTGAATGGGTCACTGATCCCAGGAGGACCTTTGGTTTCAGGAGGAAGATGAGAGAGTTGTGGGACAGAACTGTTCCTGCTGACCCACAAAGCAAGAAATAAGTATTAATTGTTGTACTACACTAATTTTGTGGTTCTTTGTTATGCAGCACTATTGTGGCAATAGCTGATCAATACAGGGACCCAAGCAGTTCTGGGACATGGACCCATCCTTAGTCTATTCATGAGTGATTGGGTTTGGGGAAGATTAGAGAATGAGTGTCTATTTGAAGAAAATTGCTGGTGTGCTGTATGTCCCCCCAGGCCTACTTCAAGCTTAGAGAATGAGCCCAATGATGGGAGAATCTGGCCCTTTCCCTGAGGCTCCTAGGGGAATACAGCAGGGTGCCTGGGAGAGCCTGGCAGGGATCCCCTGGATTTGGAGGCCTAGAACTGGGCCTCGGCATCTGGTAGACCTCTGAAGTGGAGCCTGGCAGGGTTACCCATGACAGCAGGTCTAGAAGAAGGGCTGTAGTGAAGCCCAGACTTTCAGAGCTCCCCAGGACAAGGGCCTCATTGTCACACAGGTAGAATGGGAGTCAAGGGAGAAACGTGGGGCCAGAGTTGTCATCAGAGGATTTTGCCCAAGACGCCTGCCTGGCAGGGCCTGGTCCCCTAGAAAAGAGAAGCTGAGTTGGGAGGAGGGGGTCCAGCAGAGTGAGATGCAGGGGGGAATAAGAAGCAGTGGGCTGGAGGGGGGACTGCCCGTGCCAGGGAAGGAGGCACCGTGAGGCCCTCCAAAGGTACCACTTAGCAAAGAGCCAGCATGTGGCCTCGGTCATCCAGAAAGTCCCAACACCCGAAAACACCTGTGCCGGCTACCTTCCCCTGCCATCTGGAGGGACCAGAAACGGCCACTAGTGAACAGGCTCTACCTGCAGAAACATGAGATCTGAGGTTGGTAAGATTGAAGCTTCGCAGTGAGGCCAGACCTGACTCCTAATACCTAAAAATGAGACTATTCCTATGGTCTAAAAGTGACTGGAAAAGCTCAGGGATCTGCCCAGATCTCACCCAGGATTGGAAAGGCAATGGGGAAACAAGTCGTTTCTTGCTCTGCCCCCCGTAAAGACAAATTCATTCATTCGATAAGCTAATTTCCTGCATACAGAGCATGCATAGGATTTAAATTCATTTATTTACATCAAACACAAACTGAACACTTGAAGCATGTCTCTTTTCCTACAACAATCCAACCCCAACTGCTTCCGACTGCCAGGAAAGTCAGAGTCATGTCTGAACACCAACGATCATAGCTCCCACCATGCGCAAGGCCCTGCCTAAACACTCCCTTATCTCGTCTTCCCAAGAACTCTCTGGGGCCTGGCTTCTGCCTTGGTGTACAGATGAGGAAACGAGACTCCTAGAGGAAAACCAGCTAGCCAGGATAAGATCGAAACTCTCTCTACTAAACCAGAAATGATCTATGATTTTCCCTGGTCTGGGTTTTCATGGCTTAGTCTGTGATGCGGGGTTCCCTTTTGCTCTGGTCATGCATAGACTGTCACCGGAGGACTTACAACAAGTATCAGAAAGGACAGGTGGTCTCTGTGGATAAGAGAGACACCCGCAAACCCAGCCGGCTGAGAAGGCTCAGTGCAGACACCATCCTCTTCCCTGCGGGTTCTATACCTCACCATAGGTTTGCCTACCTAAACTAATCCAAATGGGGAGATGGGGCTTCAGGGAGCCCCGCCCACCAGCAGGTGGCTGCTCTGAGCCAGGATTGGGATCCCAGAGTGGGAGCCCTCTCTGACCCCCTCCTCCTACTGCCAGAGATGACATCGGCCTCTGTGACCCCCGTTTGAGCTCCAATTTGTCCTTTACTGGGAATTTCAGTCTCAAGGCCTCCTGCTTTTTTTTGCTCCTTCCCCCGCATTGCCCACATCCGGTCCACCAGGAACAGTCCCTGGGGTCCCCTCGTGAGAAACAAAAACAACCCCTCTCCCCCATCTCAGTACTCACTCGGAAGCGTGCGACTGTTGCTGAGGCTGCCAGTGCTGGGCGGGGGGGAGAGGGACTGCAGGGAGACACTGTCCTCCTCCTGCGAGCAGCCCGCCTGGATGGCCCGCAGGTAGCTGTGGCTGCGGGAGCGAAAATAGCTGGGCAGCGGCAAGTCCAGTGCCTCCGCGGCTGTAGACTCGGCTTCGCTGCAGGCAGACTCGCAGGCTGCCTCATACTGGTCGCTCAGATCTGCCTCCCGTACCTAGCCGGGCAAAGGCGGGCGTCAGGGGCCAGCAAGGCCCATTCTGGAGGGACGGGGTGCTGGGTGGTTGGCTCAGCAGCAGGGCTGGAGAGCCAGTGGGGCCTTGAGTTAGCCCTCCCTTTCCTCCCATCTCACTCACGATATAGGGTGGGTGGGTGGAACCCTTACGAAGTGACAGCCCCTGTCACTTCTTCGGACCTCAAATTTGATTAAGGATACTTAGTGGGTCTTGAGTGTCCAAACTGATCAACTGATAGATCCTGAGGTCACATCTGAATTCAGCCACAAAGAAGGCTACAATCAATTAGTAATGTCTACCTTGAATGTTGGAATGGGAGGTGGCAGTAGGTGTGCTAGAAATTTACCAGCTTAATGTCCAATTCCTTTACTTTCACAAGCAAAGAAACCGAGGGCCAATGAGGGGAAGATACTTGCCAGGTATACCCAGTGAGGAAGTGGCTGAATCAGTACTCCAAATATGAATTTAAGGAAGATTAATCTAGCCCTGGAGTAGAGAATGAATGTTGGGAAGGGAGTCTGGGACAGAGGCAGAGGCCTGAGATAAAGCTGATGTCATCATCTGATAAGAGAAGATAAAACTGGAATGAGGGTAGTGGCAGTGAGGATTGATTAGTGATGTCTGCCAAGGGCATTATATAGAATGGTGACTGAGTGGTGGTGAGGATTGATTAGTGATGTCTGCCAAGGGCAGTATGGAGAATGGTGACACGTCTGCTATTTGTCATCTCACACCTAGTTCAACGTTATCTAGATGGTTTCTAAATGTCTCTCTAGAGACGGCCATCCAAGATCCTATAGATCTGCAGCTGAGAGCGTGAGCATACAGCGGCCTGCCACACATATACTCTCTAAGGGTTCTGGAAGGGTATGTTTGACCCACGTCTTGGGCCATGATGGCAACTGGAGACCACAGAGCATAAGCTGAGGAGTTGGCAGGCCAAGGATGGACACTGACTGGCGGTCCTGAGGGGAGGCCAGGGCAAGAAGGGCAGGGACAGAAGTTGACTGAGCACCATGTGGAAGAAAGATGGAGCCGTTCCTGGGGCCTGCTCTGCTGGTGTGGCATCCAGCTGTCACCACCCTCTGGGTCAGAGGTCAGGTAGGTTTCCTACCTAAATGAAATGCCTGGCACTGCATCAGGTAAAATGACTAGACGGATCATCACCCTGTTGGGAGCATATCTATTTGGAAAGGTCTAAATCTGTGCTGTCCAATATGGTAGCAACTAACTACGTGTGGCTCTTTAGGTTTTAAACTAATTAAAATTAAACAAAAAATTCAGTTCCTTAGCCACACTAGCTATGTTTCACTTGCTTATGCCACCTTATGGGAAAGCATGTAGGACAGAACATCTCCATCTTCACAGAAAGTTCTGTCGGACAACACTGATAAATTAAAATGTAGGCCATGAGGTATACCCAACATTCATTTGGAGTGGGTTTGAAAGAGACAGGCGTTTATCCTCCTTGGCTGTGACCTGAAGAACACCGAGAAGCCCCTGTGATTGCCAAGGGCAATAAGGTCTTGCTTTGTGATTGCAGGCATGGCACAGCTCTGGAACAGGACTGCCGGAGTTTCAACCTGGGTCCATCACTTCCTTGCAATATGAATATGGGCACGTCACTTAACTGCTCTGTGCCTCAGTTTTCCCATCTATAAAATAAGAGCTAACTGTAGACCAAATTTCCTAAAATTGTTGTCGAGATTAAATGAGATCATTCATTTCCCATGCTGAGAACAGTGTCAGGAGACTAAGCACCAGGTGACCTATCCCTATTCTTAGAGCTCCGTGGGGTGAGGGCAAGGATTTGTAAGTACTGGTTAAGATGCTTCCAAGCCCTGAGAGGTGAGGCCAGCTGGTCAGAGCTGTTCGTATGCATATCACTGAGGACATACTGTGGGCAGGGAACTCGTTGGGATTTTGTATGTTAACACGTCACATCCTTACCACAAGCCTGTGGACATTAGGGGAGGAAGAGGGCACCTGGCCCCCTGTGGGCTCCCCAAAGACACTCCGGAATAATGTGTTTGAGAAGAACTATGACATGAACGTGGGAGGCACGTGAGCCTGCCACGGCTAGAATCAGGAGAGGAGGGGCCAATCTTCATCCCGCCCCTTGGACAGGTTCCTTGACTAATCCTGGCCACAATGAGGGGGGGAGCTTGGAGCCCCTCTCAGCCTCTCTTTCTGGTCTCGGGGGCTGGGGCCTGGGAAGGAGGAGAGGGCCTCTTCTTGGGCAGGGTGTGTATGCACAGGAAGGGGCACCCGTAGGGCAAACAGACAGCGTACCACGAGCAGCTTCACCCCCACCAAGTTTTGTAAAATGGAAAAGTCTCTGTGTTCATGCCAACACCCCAACATCCTTAAAGGAGAAACATTAGGAGATCTGGGATCTGGAGGCCAATACCACCAGCCTCCAGCTGCCAATGTATCCAAAGGGAACAGTCTCTCTAGCTAGAAGACTCCCAGGGTCCACTTTCCTTTACTCTGGGATTGTTTCTTGCTCTATCCATGAAACCTAGCCCATTCTTTCCCATTTTTTTAAAAGAGGAAACTGAGGCACAGAAAAGTGAAGTGAAAGGGTCAGTGAGGGAGAGGTCAGGGCAGAGCGTGAGCCTCGACTCCATGCTCACCAGTGGTGCCTTCCCTGGCACGGGCTCTGCTGGTTCCTGCCAGGGCCAGGGGCTGGGACCACTCAGATGCCAGGTCTCGGACCCAGCCCTGGGCTCTGGAATTGGGGTACGAGAGAAGGGCAAACATACTGACCTGCTGCTCATGGCCAAACAACTGAGGGATCAGGGAGGCCTGTCCAAAAATCTGCAGGAAAGAGAGGGGGAGGGTTATGGGGAGACCAAGGCTGGGGGCTGGGGTAGGGTTTCAGACTTGGCTACAAGAGGCTGACTGGCTGGCCTAACATCCTCCCCAGACTGGCTGAGGCCTAGTCTGCCAGGAGGTCTCACTTAGCTTCCTCCACAGATGGGAGACTTACCCCTTCTGGAGTTGGGTGCTACTGAGGATTTATACTCTGCTCTTTCTACATCTTTCTTTTGTTCTGGCCCCTGGGAGATGCCCAGTCTACTGCCTCTTACTCAGGCAGGCAGCCCCCCCAACTCCCGGATCTACAGATTAGGCCCAGAGCCCAAAGCCTTCTCTTCCCCGGTCAGGGCCCACATAGTCCAGGACCTGGTGGGAGGGAGGCTCCTTCTGGCAGGAGTCAAGGACTCAGAGACACAGTCAGAGCTGGGATATCTCTGACTCTAGGGCCACGTATGTGGCTCAGGTCACTCAAGCTTCTGGAGGTGAGGGTTTGAGGGCTCAGAGGACCCTGGCCTAGGAGAGAGCTGGGCTGGGCAGGGGGTAGTGGCAGAGACCTGCTGGGGTCCCCAGCCTGGCTGATTCCATGGGCCCTTATGTACAGCCAAAGAATAAAAGTGTTCCAGATGCCGGGGCCAGGCAGAGGTGAAGATGGGGTGTGTGAGAGAAAGACAGAGAGAAACATGGATGTGGTACCGACTAGAGGGAGTCAGAGAAAAATGTGAATGAGGGGAAAGAAAAACAGAGAGAGACAGATCCAAAGACAGAAGACTGAGAAACAAAAGAACACGGTAGGATAGGAGACACAGGGAGGGAAGCCATCCATCCATTCAGCAGGCTCCCGTGTGCCCTGTGCCACATGCCGAGGACCAGGACAGTACAGGGAACCACACGGCAAGCTCCCCACCTGTAGGGAGCGCCCAATCTTAAGAGTGAGACCGACATCAATTAAATAAGCAGCTATAACTCCAGACAGTAATGGTGCTGTCAAGTAAATTAAGCAGGGTAAGGGAACAGTGTCCTGGGGGCTCCTTTCGACAAGTGACAGGGCAGGTTCCCCTGAGGTGACATTTGAGTCAAGACCAGAAACACAGAAAAACCAGCTGAGCAAAGATCTGAGAGAGGGGTGCTCCTGGGAGAAGAAACAGGTGTGTGAGGTGTGCGAGGATGCCAGTGTGGCTGCAGCAGGACAGGGGACAGAGCATCTGAGATCCCACGTGAGAGAGAGGCAGGCCCACACGCAGCTGAGTAAGGAGTCTGGCCTTCACTGCGGGCAGGCGGGAGCTACAGAGGGTTTGGAGCAGGGACACGGTGTGATCTGCCTCACATTCTTCACAAGCTCCCTATGGCCATTGGGAACACAGAGCAGGTGGCAGGCCTAGAGCCCAGGAGACTTGGTGGGGCCTGCATGAGGGTGGCAGGGACAGAGTCCCATGGTTGGGGTACTCTACTCCTCCCCAAGTCTGAAGTCAGTCTTCTTGGTCTGGGAATGACAGTGCTGAGGGGTCTGGGGACTCAAGGGGGTACGCTATGGCCAGACGAGGAACAGTGGAGCGGTAAGGGGATGGGATCCCAAAGCTTTCCAGTTCTAAGCAGTGTATCAGCCCGGGCAGTGGGGCTACACACAGTAGGCCCTGGGGCCTGTCTCCACCCAGAAAGGAGGCTGGGGCTGCACCTGGGGCCTCGCTTGCCCCACTCTTACTCCTAGCAGGTGTTGCCCTCTCTGAGCCTCATCTCCCCATCCACACCCTAGGGGGAGCCCTTGAAACTTGGCTGGTCTTCCCTTTGCCAACCCCAAAGTACTGGGCACATGGCGGGGGTTGGAGTCCTGTTGTATGACTGACAGCCCTGGATCTCCGCCCAGCTCTGCCTCCTCCTTGCTGTGTGATCTCAGCCAGCTGAGCCTCAGTTTCCTCATCCGTGAAATGGGGATATAAATAATAAGCACACCCACCCCTGGACATGGCTGTGAGGGTTCAAGGACCTGGGAGTTAAGAGAAAGAAAAGTTCAGCACAGCGTGCTAATCGATGTTAGTGGCAGGGGTGCCTAAACCTTCGAAGTCCAACTTTCCACTGAGCCTGCGGGACATGGAGGTCCAGAGTGGAGAAGCAACTTTCCCAAGGTCATACAGCAACACAGCAATAAGAACCATAAAGTTAGCTACCCTTTGCTGAAAACACTATGTTCCTATCTCAGTTCCTCATAACGCTTTGAAATAGGAATTATCACCCTTCTGTGTAAATCAGGAAACTGAGGCTCAGGGAGGGAGTGACTTGTCCTGAGTTCATATTCTCGGTGACAAGACTGGGACTCAGCTCAGGTCTCCAGTTCCCTATCTTCAGGGCTCCTGGGTCTATAGCAGTGGTGTGGCCCCTCCCTCGGGGCCCTCAGCTCAGGCCACGGCATGCCAGGCTCCCTGACCACTCTCCAGCCACGGGACAGTCAGTGGGACAGACATATGTACACAGGCAGCTATGGGAACAAAGACCAAACAGAAGCACAGTGAAGACATCTGGGGACCACTCGCCAGGAGCTGGGCCTGGATGTTTGTCCTCCTGGGCGGGAGCTGGGCTCTCCCAAGCCCACTGTCCTGGCTAGCCGCCACCCTCACCTGGCTGATGCAGCTGGAGTCGTTGAGGCTGTCGCTGACGGGGTTGTAGTCCTCCTCCCAGCTGGGACACTTGGAGGGCAGCAGCATGTCCACTGAATCCAGGCGGTCCAGACTCCTGGGGAAGGTGGGGAGCAGACAGGGCTCAGCCCACCCATTGTTCAGCCTGAGAAACAGGCTCAGACCAGGAAAGACTAGCCAAGGTCATCGAGTGCAGAGGGAAAAATGGAAGTCACTGCCAGCCTGTGTAGTGTTGGGAGGGGTGAAGACGGGGTGGAGGGGGTGGGTCAGGGGCACTGAGCAAGGGGAGAGCTCCCAGCTCTCCAAGACTTGACTCTGGAGGATGCAGGTCTTTCTCACCTGTCATCTCTATTGTAGCCACGAGGTGGCAGCACAAGCTCACTTTTAACCATTTCAAACCTTGCTTCCAAAGCCAGCCAGATTCTACAGCCCCCTACCCTGACAGGTCTGGGGCTAATTCCAATGGCTGGACAGGGGAGGGAGGTCAAGGCTCACAGCCTTGATCTCAGGCTGGAGCTGCCCAAAGTACATCAGTTTCAACACAATATCCGGGTAACTTCCACCAGGCCCCCAAAGACACCACTTCTCACGGCTCCTGCTCTTTAATTTTTCTCACATCTCCCTGACCCTGGGTTTCTCCCTCACTAGCCTGGCCAGTGAGCAGAGACTGTGAGAGTGGAGGAGACTTTCCGGGAGCGCCCACCTGCGGGGGGGAGCAGGGAGGTCTCCAATGGGGCAGGTTAGCCTGTAGGCGGGGCTCCCAGCAGGCGGTGCAGTGAGTTTTAACCCCACTGCTCTGGGGTTAAAATCCAAGCACCCAACAGCTGAGGCCTTGACATAGGTGGGCTTGGATTGGAATGGAGTTTCCTCAGTGGGTGACCTTGGGCAAGTCACGACCCCCTTGCCTATGTCTCAGTTTCCTCACCTACAAAGTGGCCGTGACACCATGCCTGCCTGCTTGGGGCCGTGATGAGGAGGATTTGGAATCACACTGAAGTGCACTGGGCCAGGCACAGAGCCCAGAGTGCGGCAAGTGCTAACAGATGGCATCCATTACTATAGCTACTATTATTATTATTTATTCCCTCTCATTCAAGGTCTGGGCCTGGGTCCCGCCCTCCTCTCCCACCTCAGTGCACACTGGTCATTCATGCAAGTGCTTCCAGGACTAGAAGGGGTCTTAAAGATCATCCACCTTAGCCCCCTCACTTAAAGATGGGGAACTGACGCTCAGAGAAGGGAAGACGTGGGACGGGCCAGTGATGTCCTGAATTCCCACCTGGAGGCCATTCCCTGCCTTCTGTCCCCCTGTGCATCCCTTAAGCAATTCCCTGTCACAAGGAAAGTCTGGGCTTCTCCGAGTACACTGGCCCTCCCTGCTCCTCCTTGCCTCTCCCTGCCTCAGTGCTCTGTCACTTTATCTGCTCTTTCCTCTGTCAAGGTCCTCCCAGACCCCCTCCTCCCAGAAGCCTTGACTCTTGGCCCCTGTAGTTTAGGAACTAGGACTAAGCTTGTTTCCTTAACTCTTCTTTTTGTTTCTGACTTGCTTTTGTTTCTTTTCCTCAAAGTACTTTGAACCCCTCCTACTAAGTTTTACTTGATGATGGGCTTTCTGTAACGTTTTTTTCCTCCTCTCATTCTTTTCTGATCTGATCCCCACGGTGACTTCTGCATGCGAAAGCCTCACCTTTCTCTAACATTGTAATTGTTGCTCTCTGCGTGCATGCATCTCATTTGTTCAGACTTTCATTAACTCTTTCAAGTCTTAAAGCAACCGGAAAGGGCTTGACGGTGGAATTCCAGGCAGGGTGAGGGAACAGGTGAAGACTGTTCATCTGCCTTTGACTTCTGGATACACTCTCCTCCCCAGTCTCGGAGCTCACCACAGGGATCAATTACAGGGGCAAGAGCAGAGGGGGCTCTGGCCTCCCCCACCCAGTAAGTACCTTGTTGGTACAGGTGGTGGGATCACTAGGGGCAAGGTTCTCCTAACCGGAAGAAGAGGGTTCCCTGGCCCAGTTCTCCTGTGGGAATGGAACTCACCTGGTGATGTGCCTCCTGGGGACACAGCCAGTCACTCTAGAGAGACTCTCCTTATCGTTTGCCAAAGGATGAGACTCACTGCTGGTCAGGGTTTAACTGTGAGGGGCTTATGGGATGGTTCACCAAATGGTGGGGCTCTCCAGAGTCAACTCGTCAAACGAAGGGCCAACCTAAGGACAAGGATCTCAGGGAGAAGACTAAGCTAAGGCCGGGTTTACCTAGGGAGCCTACATCATTGGGAGCCCGAGTTCACCTGGATCTGAGGCTGTGAGGCAGGATTCACCTATGGGGCGGGGCTTTCCTAGGGGCCACAGAGCGGGAAAGCGAGGTTCCCAGAGGTGGGACATACCTGTGAGGAGCTCACCTAGGGACTAGCCCGGCCAGTGAGCGGAGCCTGTGAGAGCGGAGGAGGCTTTTCCGCAGAGCTCACGTGCGGAGAGCTGGAAGGCCTCCAACGGGGCAGGTTAGCCAGTGGGCGGGGCTCCCAGCAGGCGGAACTTGGGAGACCTCCCAAGACCTGACTCGGACTCCCGAGCCGCAATCCCGGGGGGCGGAGCTCCGGGGGGGGCGGGCTAGCCTGTGGGCGGGGCTCTAGGTAGCGGGGTTGCGCGCTCACCGGCGGGGGTTGCTCTGCTCTCCCAGCGACTGCTGCGTGGCCCTCAGGTAGCTCTGGCGCCGTGCTGCCGTCTTGGGTGAGGGCTTGGGGCTGCCGCCGGACTCGTCGCTGTCCTCGTCGCCCATGGCCTTGATGTAGCTGCCGCTGCGCATGCGCCTGCACGGGATGGGGCCCTCGGCGGCGGCGTCCGCCTCGCGCGGGGACAGCAGCGCGGTGCTCCACTCGCCGCCGCCACCGGGCACCTGAGGGTGGGCGGACAGACCTCAGCGAGGGGGTGGGATCGGGGGCAGCGCACATCGCAGAACGGTACTCGGGACCCTGAAACGCCCCCGCTCTCCGCCTCGGACAGTTTTAGCCTTCCGTGATGGGTACTGCTGTTGAAGCCACCCAGCAGCAGGGCAGAACGGGGGCGCTGGGAAGGATATTTGAGTTCCAGAGCCGGCTTGGCCACAGCTTCACTGCGTGGCCTAAAGCAAATCCTCGCCTCTCTCAGACCTCAGATTTCTGCACGGATCCCAGGCTGGGTGTGCCCCAGCAAAACCGCTCAGGCTGTAAGATCACAGTAGCTGCCCACTGCAGTTCCTTTTCTGAGCACCCACTGTGTTCCCATCACGTCACCCTGCTATCTTAGAGGAGGGCTTATGATCCCACTACACAGATGAGAACATCAGACCAGACTGAGGCCCTCAGACCTGGCACCAAGATCCTGTCCTAGGATGGGGGTAGGGATAGGGAGGACTGGTCAGAGGACCCCAGCACAGGAGTAAAGGGGCAGGGTCCTTGGAGCCAACGGACATCCTGTATCCCTTACTAGTGGGTAAGCCCAGGCACAGGGGTGCAGAAGCCGGTGGGAAGGGGCTGGCAGCCAGGTGGTGACCTGGAAAAAGGGCTGTTTTCCCATCTGACAGGTATACACAGTGGACATTCATCCCATGATGAAAGATTCCATACATCTTAGCACTTACCAGGTCTCTCAGCCCAAGCACAGAGTGAACACACCTTGCCAGGTGCACACATCTCAGAGAGCAAACGTACATTCCCCGCCCCCATCTCACCAAGGACACGCCCACAGCAGCCACTCATTACCGCAAGCCCCTGGACAAGTACACAACGTGAACACAGAACATACTCGCACCACCCGCCACCGAACACAGCGGCCATCACCGCACTGCGGACACACTGCAGCCTGTCCCCATCTCACCGCATCTTTGCCTCGACACATACAGAGTGCACACCCCCGCTAGGTTCAACACCCTTCATCACAGAGGCCCAGGTGACACACATCTCTCAGTGAACACTGCATCGCCATTCTTCACCACATGCAAAATGCACACAGATGCCATGTCCTTCTAGATGCCCATATTGCCAGTGACCAGTTCTCGGCTGAGGGATGGTCCCAGTCTGGGACTCCCACCCCAGGACCCCCTTACCCACCCCGCCCCCAGCTAACTGCCCAGCTGGTCACTAGGGCCCACACATTCTACCTCCCAAACCATTTGCTAGTCCATCTTCCCTGGCTCCACCTGCCCCTTGGGAAGGTGCCCTTTGATATTCCTGCTTAAAACCTGTTGCTACCCCAGCACCCACCCCCCACCTCCCATGACCCAAGCAGGCAGCACAAACCCCAGGGCCCGCAGAGACTCCCTTTCATGTGTTTCTGAAGCATTTTTCACATGATCAGACCAAACCACAGCATTCTGAGAGGGAGACAGGTCACACACCACCCTCTCTGATGTTTCTAAACTAAGGAATTGGATTGAGAGCCACAAAAGCCTTAAATATATAAAATACTGCCTAGATTTCCATTTTCTTTCTATTGAAAAAAATAGCTTTCCCCCCATAGTCTCACCATCTTTGGAATTTTTATATAGCATGACAAGAGCTTGGGGTTTTGTCAGCCTTTGATGTTCATCTGGTTCAAAATGCTTCTAATGTGTTCCCAAAGGCTGGCCAGGACTGTGCTGGCACACCCCCCGGGATGAAGGGCTCACTACCTACAGAAGCAGCCCCTTCCATCTTGGTGGATACTGAAATCTGCTTCCTGTAACTTCCACCCACAGCTTGGGTTCTGCCCCAGGAGCCACACTCAGCTCTTACCCCCTGGCTTTGCTCTCAAGGGCCCCAGGGGAATGCATAGCAACAGAGATGTCGCTGAGCCTTCTGCTGCTTTCCGGGAGTGTGGCTTTGCAAAGTGCATATTAAGTTCCTCAATAAACATTAACACTTGGGACGAGAAAGTTAGTCCCCGAAGCTGGGTTAGGGCCTCCTACAGCCCTCCATGCTGATCTCCATCACACTCTACTCACACTGATGTGACTATCTGTTCATGCATCTTTCTCTCCCAGCATCCTGATAATCAGGGCTCTGTCTTCTTTCTAGCTTTGTTCACTTAAAATGTCCATCTGTTCCTCTAGCCCTCTCTCTTCTCACATTTCCTGAGCACTCTCTCTCTGCCAACCCTGTCCTGGGCCTTCGGGGCACACAGCTGCTTCTAATGTGGTCCCCGTCTTCAAGGAGCCCCTGGTCTGGTGGGGCTAGCAGGCAGGAGGCTGGCATGTAGAACACCATGCAATTGGTCCTCTGAGGAGGGTGGAGGGCAGGGCTTCCAGATTTGTCCTCTAGAGGGCAGGTACACATTTTAGTTCCTACTCTGGGCTGGGCTCTGAAGAAACCTATCAGTGTCTGCCGAAAGCATGACCAGTGGAAGAAATCCCCTTATTAGCAGGTACCACCAGACACCCATTTCACAGGCGTTTACTCACAGGAGCCCAGAATGATGCAACTTTCCAAGTAAATCTGTGGTCCAGCTAAGTCTCAGAACAGGGGCCCTCCCCAACATTCCTTACCCTACCCCTAACCATGGGAGGGACCCACCTGCAGGTAATGGTATGCTAGACCCTGGTGGCAGGATTTGGACTTTAGCAGGCTCTTATCCAAGGTGGCTGAGGTCTTCTGGCAGACTTCGTGGGCGTGGCTGAGGGTTAGAGTGGACCAGGAGCCCCGCTTGACATAGTTGGTGTCAGTGCCCACCCCAAGGCTGGGGCAGGCAGCTGGGGGTGCGGGAGGGGGTGTTGGGGCAGTCAGCTCAGCCGTGTTGTTTTTGGCTGCTTTGAGCATGTGCCCGCTGATGGTGTTGTAGGCGTGCATGAAGTAACGTGGCTGGCTGCGTTCTGCCTGTCGGCCAAGCGTCATCAGCCCTGAGGCCGGGCCACTGCTGCGGAAGGCGCCACCCTCGCCGTCCAAGTTGTCATCGGAGCTCCACCAGCCCGAGATGTTGGAGCGGCTACGCCTTTTGGGTTCCCCAGCCTTGGCCCGTTCCTTGCTCTTGGCCCTCCGGCCCTTGCCGTCCTCCAGGCCACCTTTCTTGCTGCCATTGCCACCGACCTTGCCTGCTGTGCCCTCCAGTGAGGGCGCCTTGGTGAAGAAGAGCCGCTGGACCGAGTGGACCAGGTGGCGGATGCGGCCAGGACTCTCACCACGGGCCTTGGCCTCACCACGGGGAAACTGGAGCGTGCTAAAGCCATCGCGGTGGATGGGCAGTTGCTTCTCAAACTGGTCCAGGAGGTTGGCAGGCAGCCGGTTGATCTTGGTGGCCTGGGCATGGCTGGGGAAGGGGCTCTCCTCTGGCACCTCGAAGTGGGAGTTATAGTGGATACGGGGGAAGGTGCTGCTTGGAGGTGGCAGTTGGTTGTTGAGAGGGAAGAGACCATCCCCAGGCAGAGTGTTCTGGCCAGGGAAGCGAGCCTCACGGGCAAAGGCCTCTGTGGGCGACAGCAGGTAGGGGTTGCGGTCGGGCCCTGCGAACAGGGGCTCGTGCGGTGGGTCCAGGCTGTCGGAGAGGTGGCGAGGGCGGCTGTCACCGAGGCCTTTCATGATCCCGGCCCTCAGGGCAGGGGCCGTTGCCCTAGCGGGGTGCCCGGGTTGCGTTTCCCGGGCAGCAGCTATCCTGGGGAGAGAAAACAGAGGAAATCAGCTGAATTTGGAGGGGACAGGGTGCCAGGAATATCACCCAGACCCCTACAGATCTCAGGATTGGGAGGGTTTTTGAGGACTCTTGGCCTACCTTTAACACTGTCGGGTGGAGGACAAGAAGACAAACAGAGACCCACATACCGTGTGTGTCAATCCAAGTCACAGCTCAGGCTGGCAAACTGTTAAAAAAATCCTACCTTGATGAACATGTCTTCATAATAACCTGGAAAGCCAAGTCTGAACTCAGATCAAATTCTACGATCAAATGTAGTGGGTGGGGGGGGCGCGGCTCACCCTGTTTTCCTCCCATCTCTGTCTTATCCCTTGCTACAAGGAACCATGTACCCGCATGCACCACAAGCTCACTCCATGTGCTTTCAGGCCTAGGGATGGCCCCAATGGCAGTGCAGGCCTCCTAATGGGAAGATCCCGCGCTGGCCCTGGAAGCAGGCCTGGGGCCATTTGGTTAGGGAATTCCACGGTCCCTGGTATCCAGAGTGTGGCTCTGGGTGAGCATGTCCTCTTGGCCCTGGAACACTCTTGCCTATGAGTGGTTCAGCGCGGCTGAAAGAGGGCCACAGAAGCCTTCTAAAGAGTAGGGCCTATCTCACCTGAGTCTGAGGGCAGTACTCTCCAACTCTCACTTTAGCAGAGGAATCCTACCTACATCAAATGCACACCCTCTATAAACATTTCCTTTTCCCTCATCAGATGTCTACTGATGTGACTTCTGGGCTAAGCGCCCGGGGCTGCAAACAGCAGAGAAGCCAATAAGCTCATTAGCTCATCATTTCCGGCTGGAACAGATCAATGACAGTCAGCCTGAACAGTTCTCAGTGAGTTCTATAATGGGGGCTCATTCTCAGGACTGGGTGGACAGGACAAGGCCCTGGGTCGGGGTGGCATTTAGGTGGAGCTGTGACTCAGTTTCCCCATCTGTAAAATCAGACAGTTGGACTGTTTAGATCTTCCATCCAAGCCCATGCTGGAAAAAAACAGTCTTAATACCTGGGCAAGTACCTTTCCTTTTTGTGCCTCAGTCTTCCCATCTGTACCAAGAAGCAGAGGGGAGGTTGGCGAGGTTTCTAAGGCCTGTACGCACCACCAGCTCGACTCAGAGGAGTCCCACGGCTTGCTATGGACTGTGTGCCTGGTGTGCTGAGGATCTGAAAGCCATCAGTGTGGCTGGAACAGAGCAAGTGGGGACAAGGGCAGTAGGGGTAGAGATCTTGGAGCGCTGGGCCAGGTCAGAATGCACAGGCTCTGTCGGAAGCCAAGCGTGGTAGGCAGAATGATGGCTCCCAAAGTTGCCCAGGTCCTAATCCCCCAAATCTCTGATTATGTTACTTGACATATTAAAAGGGATTTTGCAGATATGATTAAGGATCTTGAGATGGGGAGATTATTCTGGATTATCTGGAGGGGTACAAACCTAATCACATGTGTCTTTTTAAGAGGGAGGCATGAAGATATGATAGAAGCAGAGGTCAGAGGGGGGGGAGGGTCACGAGCCAGGGAATGTGGGCAGCTGTTAGAAGCCAGAAGAGGCAAGGAGTCAGATTCTCCTCTAGGGCTTCCAGAAAGATTGCAGTCCTGAGACTCATTGTAGACTTATAACCTCTAGAACTGTAAAATAATAAATCTGTGTTGTTTCAAGCCAGTAAGTTTTGGAACTCTGTCACAGCAGCCACAGGAAATTAATATACCAAATGGGTTCTGGTGTCTGAGACTCCCTCTCACCCCTCAGAGCAGCTCTTAAGGCAAATTCCAGATCCCACCTAACACTGCGTCAAAAACACTGGCCTCGGTGAAACTCCCATCAAAGAGGTGGGGAAACCAAGGCCCTTAGAGGATAACAACTGCCTCGGGATCACAGAGTGGGTCCAGTGGCAGGCGCAGTGGGGGACCCACAGCTCTTCCTAGTCCTCTGCAGCACTGCCTTGCAACTGTCGCGGGAAGCTGGCCAGCCCCACAACCTCAAGGATCTGAGGATTATTTCCTTAGACCTAGATGTTTCATGATCAACTCTCCCTAAGCCTTCTTAAGCCGAGACTTCGGCAGGGTCCACCTGGCTCAAGTTCTCTGCCTCCCTGCCAGACACCCTCCTTGCCTCTAGGAGCCTGATGGACCCCATCCTGGAGGCCAGAGCATTGTTACGTCCATCCTTGGATCTTTGCTCCCACCAGCTGGCTCAGGAGAACATCTATCTCCAAGCTGGAGAGGACGTCCACTGACTGACCTTTTTTTTTTTTTTAAGATTTTATTTATTTATTTGACAGACAGAGATCACAAGTAGGCAGAGAGGCAGGCAGAGAGTGAGAGAGGGAAGCAGGCTCACTGCTGAGCAGGGAGCCTGATGTGGGGCTCGATCCCAGGACCCTGGGATCATGACCTGAGCTGAAGGCAAAGGCCTCAACCCACTGAGCCACCCAGGCATCCCCTGACTGACCTCTTTATCTTCATTAGCCCATATCCTCACAACAGCCACAAGAGGTGGGGGGCCATTATCTCCATTTTACAGATGGGGAAACCAAGGCTGGGAGGGATCCTTCCAGCCAAGGCGAAACAGGTAACTTCAACGCCAGCCACCCCATCAGGGTTCCGGAAAGTCAAGGATCCCCCTCCATTCCAGCTAGCAGCGGCTCCCTCTGGGCAAACCTCTTCTCAAAGACAATTTCAAGCAAAACCAGCCCCATATCCCTTCTTGACTTCCGTACAGCCCCTCAGGGCTGCAGTGATCCCCGGGCTCAGGGGCCAGCCTCCTTGTCTCTCTAGCTGGAGAACTGTATGTGCAGCCATATGTCCTCAATGCCCACTCAAGTAAGGCCAGATACTGAAAACTGAGGACATGATTTGCAAACACAGCCCTGCTGGCTCGTGGGCTTGGCAGGGGCCCGACACCCCAGAAATGCTGGAGGTGGAGAGGGCTGGTCACCAGGAGCAGAAGACAGTGGCCGGGCGCTGGCCTTGAAGTGCACCCCCACCCAGTTCTCTCAGCCCAAGGCCCAAGCTGGCTTCAATATCCCATTACAGGTGCCTCTGATCCCCAGGAGTCCAGGATTGCCCCAACAGGACCACGTGAGCCTGGGACCATGGCTGCCTCCCTAAGCCTCAGACTGTGTTTGTCAAACAGGGCCAAGAGAAAGGAAAGAGCGGGCAAGTGCTTAGTGAATTGTGAAATGCTGGCACACTCTCATTCCCCGGGGTACAAACCGTGGGCCACAACCTGGTGGTGGTCTTGACTGATGAGGCCCCTCACCTGGCTGGTGGGGGGAACTGGGTCCCTGTCTTTGAGGTGCCACCAGGGTTACAGGAGGGAGAGTGGGGGCTGCCACCATCAGGGAGTCCTCTAGAGACCCAGATGATTTAATGACCACAAATAAACTCTCAACTTCTTTCCTTCCTGTGACTGGGCCCTCATTATTAAAAAAGTCCCTTTCTCTGACTTCTGGGGCCCGCGTGTCTGTCCTTCCACTCCACCTTAAAAGTCAGTGCCTCCCAGGGCTCTGAGTGGGCACATGGTGTCCCCAAATCAGCAAAATGCTTCAGGGTCACTCAGTGGGGCTCAAGCCAGGCACCTAGGCACCACCCTGAATTCTTCCCTCTTCTGACTTTCTATGTCCTTCTCTCACAACAATGCCCAGGGTGCCTGGAAAATTATCCACTCCCCTACCCCCCCAGTCTACTTCCTGTAGTTTAGGTGGAGCCAGCCCTAACCCAGAACCCCAGGAGTGGACACATGACCCAGGTCTGGCCAATCAGAGCCCTGCCTCCCTGAGCACTGATTGGCTCAGAGATGGGAACAGGATCCTCCCTAGCCAATGAGAGTTGACCCTGGGAATGGCTGGACTCTTCGGAAAGAGGTGCCTTTCTCTGTTAGGGCTGTGTGCTTGGCGGAGTGTCAGCCTGGAGTCCTTTGTTGAGATCTTGGTAAGATCTCATATGACAGTTGAGACTTTTTGCTTAAGTTTGAGTTGGGTTTCTGTGTCTTTCAACAACAGCCTGATACTGGCCTCAAGAACAGTTGGTCACTACAGCGACTATGGTCACTACAGTCACATACAGGTGACTATGAGTGCCCCCCGCCCCCACTCTGTATCTCCTATGGCCTCATCACTGTGGTGCCCAAGACTGACTTGGGACTCTCAGCTTCTGCAGCCTTGTGGGAGGCGGCAGCGGGGGGTGGTGGTGGAGGGTGTTCTCTAGCTGCTGGAGCCAGCTCTGCTCACATTTGGCTGGCAGGAATTGCCAGAGACTTAACAACCCTACCCCCACCCCCAAACCAGCTGCATCTCTACGGTGTTTGTTGGGGAGCTGGTGTATAAATACCCCAGCTCCTCCACCCTTCAGGTGGGACAACTGAGGCATGGGCTCTACATGGACTCCTGGAGCTGCCCAGTGGGAATGAGTTCCACTTTTCTTCAGTGGTCACTTGCCTGATAACACTCCCTTCGTTGGCTACCTCCCGTTCCCTGACTTACCTCTCCCTTCCCACACTGTGCTGCCTCTTCCCAAATGAGGTACTTGCCCTTGAGTCTTGAATCTCTGTCTTGGGCATGCTTCTGGGAAACCTCAGCTACGACAGTCACGGAATCACAGTGATTCTGCCTCGGTTGTGTCTCCTGGTGCCATTTCCACTCCAGATCCTCTGCCTCTGTCCCTCCCACCACTCACCTGGACAGCTGAATAGCCTTCTCCCTGGTCCCTCAGTGTCCACTCTAAGACCCCTGCATGTTCCAAACTGCAGCTGGAGTGATTCTGCTAAAATACCAAAGCACTAGTGTTCTTCCTCTTCGGTGGTTCCTCTTGGCTCTTGGGACAAATGCCTGACTCCTGAGCCTGGCATTCAAGGCCATTGGGAGAGCAATTCTCTGTAGACCTCTAACTGTCAGCTCCAGCCACATAGCTTGCAGGAGATAAAGAGTGTCAGCCTGGGGAAGGGACAGCATAAGGCCTCACAGCAAGGCCACTCCA